AAAAAAAAAGCACAACGAATGTTCGCGCATTTCACATTCCAAAAGAGAAGAAATCATTTCATGTTGACCTGTGTTCATTTTCGTGGTCCAGGTTTAAGGTCCGAAATTGTTTCACTATATGTTTTGTACCTTCTGATAGTTTTGATAATAAAAATCGACAACTTTTGCGACTGCACCGATTCTATTTCCAGTCACAACGTGGATGTTTTATATTTATACAAATACATGGAATTTTATCCCTGTTATATGCTCTGGAATACGTTTTTAAATCGCAGTAGATCGGCGGAGGAAAAAAAAGATATATGGACTATTTTTGTAATAAATTTTATCGTGTGTGATAAACGGTATTCGCAACATGTAATTTCTCACTTCTTTTATAATGATTTTGGTACTAATCGAGTGATATTTTACCGATGCGTAAATTAAATGGTGCTTACATAAAGGGGACATTTGTTTTTCCATTTTTATTCAAATATAACCGCCCCTGTATCCTCCCACAATTGATCTGATGAAATATACATTCATTGGATCAAAATATTCCGTTATTTAAATCCTTAAACAGCATTAGATTCTTACTTTGACAAAGTTCGATTTTAATGTGAATATTATTCGTACTAGAGATAAAATGAAAGTATTGTAATCTCATGAATCTCAATTGTGTATTGAAGTTTATTTAATTCAATACTGTATCACGTAAAAGTTATTTGTTTGAAAGTAATAAATACATTTTGCATTCCAATAAACTGACTGAAAGTGAAAGAATTTCAGTTTCTAGTCAAATGGATCTAAATTATTCAAGTAAAATTGAGAAGTGTTGCGATTGAGCATCACTGCAATGTTTCTCGCAAGTGCTCGTTCTCTGTTGTGTTTACTATATAACTGAGCTTAAAAGCACTGGGTCCGGGAGGTTCTCTCGAGCAACACCACGGAGCCACAATCGGAGTTCTCAGTGACTCTCATGCTCTGAGGAAAGTCCCTGGACCTGTGGCAGAAAGTGTCGTAGCGCAATGTTCGCTGTTAGCCTTCACAGTCTCCTCGAAACTGGAAAGGACGCCTTTGGTTGATCTTTTCGAGTTGTGCTGAAGAGTATTGGTCAGAGATAAAGTAATGTGTTGAATGTTTGTGGTATTCCACTCCTCTGCCTCAAGGCGGAGGTTGGAAAACCGTGTTCAACCGAACAGGGCTCACTACGAGGGAACTTCTCGCTTTTGTTTTTCTGTTCTTTTTCATTAATTTTTTTTAATTGCTAAAAGTATGAAGTAGAAAAATACTAAAGGCAAATTTTTGAACTTTAATTTATTGGTATCATCCAAAGTAATGCTATTCGTACAAATGTTTGGAAGTTTAGTTAATCATCGATTAATACTAGTGACTTGCTACTAGATGGCGTCATCGATTTGTGATGTAGAGGCAAATGATTTTTGCCAATATTTATACTATGCATTATGCACGTGACGGCAAGGATCATTTGAGCCTTGCTTATTATTGTTTAAAAATATTTTATGTTTAATCAGGGAAGGTTATACGATTGTATCAATATTTATTAATACCTATTTATTTTAATATGTAATCTTGATTAGTTATAAAATGATAATTTGTATTTACTAAACTGCTTTTGACAGAACGATTTATATAAATTTAATGTATATAAACAAAAATAACAGTGCATCACAGATTTACTTCTGAGTGCACAATACATTCTCAAAGATAATAAGTTGATAATTAAAATTATTTTATGTTGGCAACGTAATATTTTGTACGTGCTAAAATAATTTTTACACATTGGACGTCGTCTTGCTAATATAAAAAACATATTAATTCAAGTAAACCATTGTACATATCAATGTCTCAACGCTCTAAGGTTATTCAACTATATAAGACGGTAATAAATTACAATTTTAATTTAGGTCAATAATTCACTGATACTTGTTTATATAAAAAACTGTCATTGACATATTTACTTACTTCATTTACTATAGAATTAAATCTGTATTATCTAATATTTTCAGTTGTTATTTATGGGTAGAGAATATCCAAGAGGTTATGACTTTTTTAAACAAAATTTAAGAAGAGCCTTCGAAAAAAATAAAGGAGAAACGGACCCAGAAAAAATCGATAAAATGCTGGCACACGGAAATTTTGTCATTAAAGAATTAGAAGCGTTGTATATGTTACGGAAATATCGAACATTAAAGAAAAGATATTATAATAACCCATAATATTATATAGTAATATTTACCATAGGACAAATAAAGAATTTAATATCTGTTCGTTTCGTAAAGATGTGTATGACCTGAATGAGTCTGGGATACTAAAAATTGAATATATTTTGTATATTTCTTTCGTAAATAAATTAATATTTTTGTGAAATATTTGTATACCTATGTGTATAATAGGAAAATATATCTGTACAATTGTTATTTCTATAAACAATTATATATTTTACGATTAAACTAAGTGTAAAGTATGTATTGGTTAGCTTATCAACATGGTTGTCAAAATTGACGTTAGAACTTGGGTACACGAAGTTCAAATATTTATGTTCGCTCTAAGTTCTAAAGTATTTGAAATGTTTTAATTCGATTAATAAAGATTGGTATGTAATTTAGAAACAGTATAAATTTTATAAATATGGCAGTCTGTGTCGCTGTAATAGGTAAAGATGTGAGTACACACTTCCTATCTTGAGGTTAAGATGAATCTGAGAATGTTAATGATAGATTTTGCGCATATAACAAATTAAATATTTTTATGTAGAATTCTCCAAAATACATTCGATGTGCCGATGAATCAATGGCATTGCAATTTCATCGTAAGGTCCATACATCGATAGACATAATAGAAGAAAAGCTTAATGATGGAAATAAAACAGCAATTGACATACGGGATTTGTATTTAGGATTATTAAGTACCACAGAAGAATATAAAATGTATACAGCATGTGTAACATTGTATGAAATTATTTATAAACAGTTGCGAAAATATATTATTTTTGAATTGCAGATATGGCTATGCAACAAATACGAAAATTAAGTTTATTGTTGTATTACAGTCATCAAACACGTCAATACGCGATAATGATGTGAAAATGGTATTATATAAAAAAAAGATTCAATATTATAATTATATTGTACCAAATAATGACACATTTTCCATTGCAGATTTTTAAGAAATTACATGCTGCATATTTTAATTCCGTATGTAATCCATTTTACATTCCAGATGATGAAATTAATTCTAAGTAAGTATAGTTAAAGTAACTTTTGACATGTAACAGTACCTAAGAAATAGTAAAATAATTAAATTAATTTTTTACCTGTAATCTTCAGGTCATTTGATTTATCAATAATGGAAATAATGGGTATCATATAGTTTATGTGAGAATGGCTTTATAATACAGAAAGTAAGAGGACGTCTAAGCAATGTTAAAAAATATGTAAATAATAAATAGTGTAAACTAAGAAGCAAATTATTCTTTTTATTTATACATGAAAATTTTCTTTTATAGAGCTACTTTATTTTTATAATGTAAGGTACAAATATATATTAGAAAGTAAATTTATTAAACGTCAATTTATTTTACAAAGTATAAATGAAATGTATATACGTATACAACAAATAATATAAAAACAACAAATATAAATACATAGCTAAATATATTGTACATAGTACTGCTTCTGTTGGAGGCCTCTTAAATTGTGTTCTCCATAAAAACTATTTACAACCTGAATTATGTGAACAATTCATGTAATTTTAGTTTAGCAACTTTCAAGATGTTCTTTATGGTTTAAAATATAAAAAAAATACTTGTTACTAAAGTATGCAATCATTTACTGAAATATACACAGATCTGTCTCTCCTCTTTCTCTCATAACATAAAATAATAAAAAATAAACATTTTGATCTTCTTATAATATCATACTTTGTATCACAAAAGTTAGAAATTTTAATTTAATTCCTTCATGTGCTTTGCTTTTTGTCTACTAATCTGACAGTGACATTCTTTTGTTTCATATTCATACTTTCTTATTCTTTATCGTCCAATTTCTTCTGAGGTATTTTTGAATGTACCAAATCCCATGTTAGAAGAGTTTTATTTGGCTTGGTACATAGATCCATAATAATTTGACCTCCTTTCTTAGCCTGTACAGCTCCTAAACATGTGCCAGCTGCCATATTGTACAGGGGTGTACCATTCTAGACACATGTATTTAAATTCATTTAGTCTGTACACCTAACATGGAAAAAAATAAGTACTTACAGCACTTTTATGTCGCCATTCTTGATTACCACCCATCTCATGACATTTCCCAAGCTTTGGTATCTTGTCTGCTCCTTCCATACAAAGTATTTGGCCAAGGACTAACTCTTGCTTATCTGTTTCATACCACATCTACCCAGATCAAAATTTATTGTATTAATATTATTAATAAAAAAATATAACAATCTCTTACAAAAGTAAATATATTATAGAAATTTATAATGGCTTTAAAACAATTACCTGCGATTTAATTCTCAAACATGTTGACAAAATCAGTTTAGAACCCTTGGTCTTAATATCTTTTTCACTCTGAACACACAATGTTGTGTTTGAAAGTCTAATTTGATACTCATCAATGTAATTTCTCTTTCTAGAATGCCAGGGTTGGATTTGTCTCTGCTCTAATTTTGCCAATTTCTCTTTCATTCTACTTTTGGTATCATTCGGTAATGTTAATTCGGGATATACTTCTTTCAAATACCATGAAAAATTTTTGCAGTTCAATTCATTGCGTAACTTTAACCTATCTGTCACATCACCATAATCGATTTTCACAACATTTTTTAAGAAATAATCTTTATATTCATCTAACCAAACATATGCAACACGCAATGAATTTTTCAACATGCTATCATGTTTGTCATCCCCACCATACGGTCTCCGTTTCCTAAATACATGGCCAACTCTTGAACAAGGAATCAATGCAATGCTCCCACCACACATCCAAATCTGAAGAATATTACAAATTACTACTGAATTAGAAATAATAGAGAAATAAAGTAAATTACTGTCTCACTCTAAATGATATTTCTAAATTTTCACCACCCCAGATATCCATGCCAGCATCATATTCTCCAAGTTTTATAAAATATTCTCTATCCATTGCAAACAATCCCCCTGCCATTGTTGGTGATCTATTTAGTAATAATGATTAACATGTGTGTAATACAACATAATTAAAATGAACCTGAATACATAAAAATATGATCTTACTTTATGGGTTTTACAAAATCTTCATCATGTTTCAGTGTGCCAACTGGTAAATTGTCCCATTTAAAATGCAGTCCCCAGTTAAATCCTCCTCTTACTAAGGGACTACTGGTATATTGAAATGTGTCTGGGTCGATAATATCAATTACTGGCATTGCTACAGTAGTTTTTGAGGAAGCAATTTGTGAAAGAAGTGGTTCTATCCACATTACATTTACTTCTATATGGCTGTCCAAAAAGATCAAAACATCTCCAGTTGCTTTTCTTGCACCATACATTCTTGCTCTTATTAATCCTTCACGTTTTTCTGTTTTAAAATACTTCACTTTACCATTAAAATTATTATCAGTGTACGTTTTAACTTTTTCATGTAGAGCTTTGTCATCACTCCAATCATTGACCAAAATAATTTCATGTAAAAGATGAGAAGGAGTCCTTTCAATAATGGAATGTAGAGATCTCAAAAGTGTCATATAATGTTCATTGAAAAAGCATATGACAATGCTAGCTGATGATAAATTGGTAGGATAGTTTTGCGTCTGGCACAATTTATGTCTTGTATCAAGTAATACTCTGTGTATTCCAAGATTATCTGATACCAAAACATTAAAGGCATAATTTTTGTAACCTTCACTTCGTTTTCGTTGATCATCATAATTTCTTACAATTCCAAGCTCATCTAAACCTAGAAATATATTATTACTTTTATTAAGTAATATACTATAAATTCTAAATGAAGATATTAAACAACATTTCATTTTTCTAGTCAGTTTAGATATTATATTGCCAAAGTACCTTGCCCTAAAGTGACAGCAGGTTTTACTGGTATGGGTTGCAATTGTTGTAAAAGAGCATCGTTGTTCTTATAATTAGATTTTTTTAAACCATAACTATTTTTATATGCCAATACCTCCTTTTCATCGTGAAATATTAGATTATCACGTAATCTTAATTCACGATCATTATATGCTTTATGATCAAATGTAGATTCATTTAATAATTTAGAACTATCTGACACTAATATTGTTGGATAAATGACGTCTGTATTTTGGGACAATCTTGAATAAAGATACAAACTGAAAGCCCATGTTAAGGAGGCTATTATTACACCCGATAAGAAAGAAAAGTACCTCGTTGACATCATCTACAGATTGTCAAGAAAATAAACAAAATTAATAAGAGTCGAATATATTATCAATAGCACTTTTAGTGCAAACGAAATGTAAAATACTCACTATTAAAATATGTATTTGATAATTTAAACTTAATCTATCATTATTGTAATAAAATACATTCTCATTTTATAAAAAAATAATACACGGGTGACAGTACTATAAAATGCGCATCGCCATTTTGAAATTTCTTATAACAGCTGTTTTGTAAGTTCCTTATTATTTTATGATATTCATAGGCGTGTATAACTATAAGAAGTTATAAATATTGTTAAAAAAGTATTTTTAACAAAATGGCTTTGACAACAAAATTTGTAAATGGCTGTTAGCTTGTATAAAACTATTTCAAGAAAGAAACCAATCTTACTAACCGCCCCTGTGGCCTAATGGATAAGGCATCGGTCTCCTAAACCGGGGATTGTGGGTTCGAGTCCCACCAGGGGTAATTAAATAAATTTTTTTGTACGAATAAAGATGTTTATTATATTTTTTCTGATTCATATTTTAAATTGACGTTTTAAGCAAGTATTCGTTACTTTCATAATTAGGTTTAAAAAAATTAACTCGCGTGTTTAGTGCAATAAAAATTTGTTTATAAAATTTATTTTAAAAATAAACACTTATATAATTTTTATAAAATTAACTCAAATGTTAACAAATAGAATCCATTTATCTCTGTTATCTTTGTCATTATCTTCACTCTTTTGCTGAATAATGTTTAATAAATCGCGCAGATGGATCGCTAATTCCTGTAATCCATCGAGGCATCCAAAAGTATGGCATGAATTCTTCAGCTTGGCCTCCATAATATTTCTCGAAGATATTTCTAAAATATAAATAGAAGTATTGTTTTTATAATAAACTAGAATTTGTAAAATGTTTATAAGGAATATTACTGTACCTATAATACAGTGCTTCTTTGGTTTTTGGTGTACAATAGGTATATTTAAGATGAGCGTTCTCCAAATCTTCATCTGTTACATGATCTTTTATTATATCATGTACAATTTGGAAAAGAGATTTTTTAATTGACGTTACGCCATCGCTGAATGCTTCTTTGTGTCTCCACAGTATATTTGATGGTAACAGACCAGTACCATCGAATGCAGATCTTAATAAATGTTTTTCTACTCCTCCTAAAATATATATACCGTGTAAACATTATTATAAGCATAATAATGCAGTGATTTTACCTTGAGGTTGTCTAGAAGCAGCGTCCAGTGATAAATAATAATTTGTAAACTGTATATCTAAGAATGGAACTCGCAATTCTAAACTAAAGGCACTAGTTGTCCTATCTGCTCTTAAACCATCATACAAGTAAATGTCCTTTAGTAATCGATGAGATTCATTATGAGCTTCTATCTCATTGGGTGCATCTCGAAAATAAATGTAACCTTGTGCCAGCTCATCTGCACCTTCTCCACTAAATATTACTGTTGTCTCTGTATTATTCTTAATGTACTTCGAGATAAGGTACATACTGTGAAATTTAATATGTTATTTAATCCAAAAGTTAAATGATTTTTCTTGTAGAAGATATACTTAACCCAATAGAAGCTCGAATTGTAGTAATATCAAAAGTCTCCAAGTGATAAATCAGTTTGTCTAAAATATGCAGTACATCTTTCTCTGAAAAAATGATTTCATGATGTTCTGTTCCTATATAATCTGCAACCTAAGATAGACATTAATATATCCATATATTGGTAAAACAATTTGTTTAATATAAGATAAAAAAATGATCTTTTACCTGCCTAGCTGCAATAATATCGGGGCTATCACCCATTCCAATTGCAAAACTTTGTATTTTATATGGTAGACTTTCTTCTTTAGCATGTTTTACTAACAAAGCTGCAACTAAACTTGAATCTAAACCACCTGACAGCAGACATCCTACCTTTCTATCGGCCATTAGTCTTTTCTTTACAGCAGCTGAGAGTAACATTCTTATGTTTCCAAGTACATTTGTTTTACTTAATGCTGAAAAAAGGCTTGTACTATTGTATTTGCATCACTTAAATTTGTTATGGCTAATTTTTAAATTTCTTCAACAAACCATTCCAATTAGTATATGGTTTAAAACTAGGTTTGCTTCCTGGTTTACAGTAGTTCACTTTAGATAATAATTTTGTTCTGCCATCATTTAAGATTTCATATTCTTCATAATGACCTGGTGTAAATGGTTTTAATGTCCAATCTGATTTTATACGTTTGGTTAATCCCATAAGACCCTAAATACATATTTTAATATAATACAATTTTATGACTAAAATAAACTACTTTTAATTTGTTACTTTGCTCTCCGAACAAATTCCAAGTTGTCCATCAGTAGAATATAATTGAAATAAAGGTCTAACACCGTAAGGATCCCTGCCAATCAGAATTCTTTTGTTCTTAAAATCCAATAGACAAAATGCAAATACACCATCAAGCATTTTGGTAACATTTTGTGCACCATTATTTTCATACAAATGTATTATTACTTCTACATCACAATTTGTACTGTATTGGAATCCATGTTCTTCGCTGATCTATAAAATTAAATATGGAATTTAATTAAACAGCTTTGATAATAATAAGAATACAATTTGTAAAGTTGATTTTACACTTTTATAATTATATATCTCTCCATTGCACAGTAAAAAGATATGAGGATACTTAATAAGTCTCATTGGTTGCATTCCACGGAGGTCATCAACAATAGCCAATCTATGGAAACCAAGATAACCATTCTATGAAAAAAAAAATTACGAAAGTTTATTTATATTACATTTCACTTTTTATGATATTTATACCTTGACTGCATGGTCATATTCAAGTTTAAAAGCTTCTGGTCCACGATGGCTTATTTTTTCAAAATTCTCACACATACAGGTCAAAGGAATGTCTAATCCAAACAAGGCCCAAATTCCACACATTTTGATTAATCTCTTATTATTCCTATAATGGATTATGATTGCTATTAGTATTATTATTATTGCTATTATTGCTGAATAATTAAGGTATAGAGTAACATAAATTCAATACAATTTAATAAATAAAAATAGATAAACTTTCACATTGAATTACATTAAATAAGTATTAGAATAATAGAAAGTACCTTATAGAAGAAATATTTTACGAAGAATAGTAGTTTCCTTGTTACTTTTGGGACGTTCTTTATTTCAAGAATCATATAAAAATTCTGAAGAAAATTTACAAACAACACTGTTTACGAGTTTATATACATGCAGGGACATGTGTGGGGGTGCGTCGATTCCACGTTGCGTATTCGCGCGTCTGCGCACTTTTATATAAAAAGATTACATTTATCTATTCAAAAGATGTTGGCCTTAAACAATGTAGATAAAATATAAAACCTTATAAAAATAAAACATAACTAGCGTAAGTGAAACATAACTAAGTAAGTAATTAATGGAATATAACAGTTATGTTACAAAATTCACTTTTTATCATGCACTAATGGGACTGTTTTTACACGGTTCATTTCGACGACACGTTTTTTTTTGCACGTTTTATTCACTTTTCTAACACGGATGTACGAGTTACGTTTCCGATAAAATGCTGGAAAACTGAAACGTCTTTCAGCTTGATTTCAATAGCACAAGACGTTATCTCAGCGCAACGAAATTCGATACGCTATCTATACTTTCATTTCAAATTGTAACGGTTATACATATACAATGCACATGTGACATGTGACAATGTTTTCCTTTCATTCGTACGATTATATTCAATCAATTAAGATGTCCCCGCAGCATAAGCTTATTTATCCGTACGCATTCAAATACACATTGGTGTTACATTTAACACACACTTTATTATTATACCGATTACATAATTATACTTACAGGACGCATCATGCGTACACATGCCATATCGAACAAAGAAAGAAAAATTCAAAATTAACATAAAAACCGTTACGTAGAAAAACATATTTGGCGAGTAACGAATCGTTGCAAACAAGGTAATTTACACCGATACGATACGAACCAGTTCAACACGGTTACTTATCGTGCAACACCGATACACAGTGCGAGCGAAAATATTCGAGCAATCGATAATTCGAATTCGAACGTACGCGAATTATCCTGCAGTTTGAATAAACCTGTGGCATTATTTTCATCTTCTCGATTGAATACATATTAATTGGAGCAGACGATTAGTGGTAACGAGAAGGAGCACGGTTGTGCAACCATTGTGGTCGGTGGTGCCCTCTTCCGGCGTGACGGCGAGCCCGTTGGTAGAAGGTGGTAATCGCATAGCAGCACGCGAGTGAAAGGAGGGGGGCAGAGCGCAAGATCGTCGTTTCTCTTTCGCGATTTCTTCGTTTTCGGTTGAATTCGTTGGGTGCGTACGGCGGGGCCAGGTTTTTCGTTGGCGGTGGTGTTCGACGAGGTGGTGGACGCCGTGGGATCGCGTTCATGCACGGCACGGCCGAAGGAAAGGAGCCGGTGCGCGAGTCGGACACCCAGGCCGTTACTTCGATCAGCTGGTCGTTTGTGGGATCGCCTTGAATGTCGGCGTATAAGCGCGCGGGGCAGTTGGCTCTCGCCAGGGCTCCAGGAAGGATGCGCGATCGGGGGTGTGCGCTTCTCGAGACTGCCACCGGTTTTCTGTGTGCCGGCCGCTTCACGGCCTATAACGCGGCACCATAGCCACGGGCCGTTCAACAAAAACAACCTTCGCGGTTTATTCATCCGTCCGGTGTGAAGAGTGAGTCGACTTGTGCCCGCGGGAATCGAGGGGTTACCGTGCAGAGGAAGAGGAACAAGAAGACGAAGGTGAAGGAAAAGCTTACAGCAACACTCGAGTGATTTTTCTATGGTGAAGAGAGAGATAGTCCGCTTAACGTCTTCTGCCGTATCGATGTGTATTTAAGCCTGATCAAACCGAAACGCCAGGCAGAAAGTTAACGTTCTCAAGGTTAGAAGCTACGATCATCTAGAGCCACGACTCTGGTGCACTCGGCATTTTTACTAGACGCGCTTAGGTTAAGTGTCACCCGTTGCTAATTCCCCGGCGGCGAGCGACGAATTCGAAGCAAACGGAAGCGAGTGTCGCACAGCGATCCGCTTCGACGATCCTTTCCTTCACGGTTGTCACGTCGTCGCCGTGCATTCTGATCTCATTGGGCATCGATAAACTTACTCGTCGTCGCCGCGGACGGACCGGCCGACCGGAGAGCTCTCTCGCCATTGCAAGAGGTCGAATTCAACGTATATATCTGTTGTGTGCGTTCCTTTAGAGTGCCGTAAGTTTGAGCAACGGGAAAAGAAAACAAGCCGGTCGATACGTCCGAAGGTTTCGGGAAAAGGAGTTTCAGGCGATTCGTCGGCGTTCCTCTGGGATTACCTTCCGCGTTCGTTACCGACCGACGTGTACGCATATTCTTCGTACGTGCAACGACGGCTGAGAATGCGTTTTTGGCTGCGGATTATTTGAGCGTTCCAATTTCAAAGTACACGAGGAGAGGTGTGTCGGTGCGTCGAACCATCGAATCCCGTAATCGCGGGCACGCGATCGCTAGCGCTCGCCGGATCACTGTGTCACCGAATGCGGAGAAACCGGAAGGAAGTTCAGCCCGGTGAGAAAAATCTGCAGCCCGACGCGCCAGCGGCGTACCGTAGGGCCCGTTATGACGTCACTTAATGGCTCGCGTGATTTTCGTACTTAATGCAAAACCTAACCTCAACGCGACCGATGCAAACCGCTTATTAGTAAATTGAAACACGTCGCACCGCGAGCTCCATCGACGAGACAACATTTGCTCCGATTCGATATCTCGCGACGGTCCTTTTCTTTCTTTCCGCTATTTCTATTTCTTTTTTTGTTTCTTCTTTTTTTTCGTATTTTTCGAGTTACCCAGGAAATTTCGTACTTAACATCGATTCGGGGGGGAAAGAGAGAGAGAGATAGAGATAGAGAGAGAGAGAGAGAGAGAGCACACTGTGCCGGCGTTACCTGTTTTTATCGGCTGTGCAACCAGTTCAGTGGTGAATAATTCCTCTAGTGGTGTGTGTGTCGAGCATTATGGGAATCGCTTCCAGATATTAATAATTTCATCGCGACCGGGAGGAACGGACGGGAACAGAAATTTATCGTGACGGACGCCAGGTCGATTACTACGCAAATCAACGTCACCGCCACCAGCTAAATTTTCGCACGGTGCAACGCGTCGCTTCAAGGTAACTTTATTTTTATTTTCCCGTATTAATGGAACACGCCACGTGTTCACACGGCTTTTTAATGATTCGTGCCGCTTCCAGCTGGCCGGCATATGGTTAGAACGGTAAGAATCATTGAAGCGTGTCGTTCGGTCGCGATCGAAATCGGACAGTTTTATGTTCTCGCCTGGAGGGAAACGCGTTATCAACCGTAAGCGTACGGTGCTCCGTGCAATTTCCTTTTTTTTCGGGTAGCCATTAGTGCAAGTGGGGAAAGTTTTGTTTTATTATTTAAGACTCGCTCGAGCATACTACTACGCGTTGCACATGGTACCGTTGCCCGATCGTCCTTAAGGACGTTGAATCGGTAGTGGGGAGAGGTTCTTCACTACCATTCTCTTTTAATGGAGTGACGTAAGTCCTTTTGAAAACATCAAGTAAACTTACAGGTACACAACAACGTATTTGTTTACCAAACAGTCGAAGCGTATTTTAATCGGATTTTCTTCTGTCCGATGAGTCATAATTAAACCGTTATTTCAAAGAAACGATCTCGCTCTCTTCGAGAAGAAAGGCGGACACACACATAGCGTCGCCATTTTCGTTTGAAACTGCGCTAAAGGCGGCCGGGTTCTTTTTTAATGACGAAAACGCGTAATGGGCTTCCATTTTGGCAAAGACACTTCGGTATAGCAATTGAGAAACCTAACCTACATTATGTCCCTTACTTTGCAACGTCTTACGTGCACGATATACACGCGTACACCGGATTTCTTACACCCCTCGACTTTTGGCTTTAAATAGAAAGGAGTAACAAATACACATATACAGCCACGAAAATGAATCTATACACACGTATATCAATTCTGATACCCACATATATCAGGTTATTTCATTTAGACTGTTGCAAAGGACAGCGGCGTTTTAATCGTTGCATCCACCGATTATTATCGGTAATATTTACACATGTATCGTCAGCGGACAGTAAACATATTACCAACAATAATTAGAGTAATAATATTACCGTCATAGTCAACAATTTATTACTTGAATGAAAAACTGTTTTTAAATAATTTTGACTACCCCCATGTGTACATACACTTGCCAATAGTTTATAAACATATTATTTATTTGAAAAATATTTCGACCAATGCGCTTATCGAGGGTAGACAGTGAACTTGAAAACGCATTGTTACGGTAACGCCGGTTTCAAGGTGTGGGAAGATGAGAAACGCATTCCTCCTGCGCAGAACTTTCTTTTTCGCATTTTATGGGGCACCAGTGCTCGAATAGCGCGTAAATATTTTCGTAATCACTTAGCGGCGCGCATTAGTACGATTGTCGAACGCCGCTGTTCGACTATTAATTACGCGCGTTAATTACCGGTTACATATGCGGGTAAATCGAAGCCTCGTTCGATGAACCCTACACGCGCAACCGAGCGTCGCTTATTGTGTCACGTTAAAGGCTCTTTTTTCCCCCGTTTCCATCTTTTTTCCTTGCTTAACTCCGCCACGGGAATAAACCGGGCGTCAACCTGTTCGACACTGTCCGGCGTTAAAGTTTATCAAAGCGTTACCAATTCAGCTGAATGTTACAAAAACTACGAGAATGTTAACCCCTTGGCTTATTTACTTTTGCTACTAAGCTCGTGCAAAATGTTTCTATCAGCAGTTTAGAAAGAACGCAAAGAAATTGTCCACTGCACTTTACGTACAAATTTATTTTCAAGATGATACATTGGTAATAACAAAATAGTTTTTTGCTTCGATCCATGCACATTGAACAATATTCATGTTTATTAAACTAATCCCGAAAGTTAGTTACATCATTTCTACCAATTTCAGAGCAATTCGTGTTCTTCGATTCGATAATCCTTCAATGTTCTCCAGTGTACACGTAAACAATAATATACGTAACACGAATTCATTAGCAATTGTTTCTATTGTTGGAAACACGAACGTTTCGCTCGACTTTCTAAGTCGAGACCAATTTCCTAATGTCTTCTCGATAACATTACCGATTCCGACTTTCTTCGCTTTTTCATTGATTGAACTTGTAAACAAGTTGTTACCCAATTAGCATAAGTAGTGAGAAATGAATTACTACGCGCAGAGCGCGATACAAATCGATTGCTACATAAACGAACTTACGCAACGTCCAGAAGAAATGAGAAATAAGTCAGCGGGTCTGCTCGGTGCTTCTAGCGTTAATCTTGTAGAGCCCCTGATAATTCAATTCTGCGTTCCCGATCTTTCGCGTTCGCGAATCGCGGTCCCGGTGCGCGCGATCGATCGACCGGCCGGGATAAATTATCGGAATAATCGGCGGATCCGCGTTTACCCGTGATCGGATTTGACTCTGTTCCCAATGCAAACACTTCGACTTCGGTTAGCAACCGCTGCCTGCGTCACCGTCCTATTTTCCAAATATTTGTGATATCATTGGAGCGGAGGGGGGGCAGGATGCGTGCGTGAGCATCTCCGCGCTCGTAAAATCGCTCGAATCGAATGCATCAGCGGGGAAATCCCCTTAACCCGTTTAACCGCGATTAACGCGGTCTTTTTATACATCTTTTATCTGCGGGAGTTAAGGCATTTATGATTATTACCTTATTTATCGTCAGATTTTGAAATACATTACTCTTCGATAACGAAGGAGGATGTAATTTACACTTCAAACGAATGCTGTTTATTTTAACCCTTAGCACTCCGGACGGTTTTGTAATTTATCAGCAACTGCAATTCATTTTTATGGCACTTCTAGTGAAATTGATAAATGCAACGTTCCTTCGGTCTTTTATTCTCCTTCTCAGTAGAAAATTTGGATGTGTGGAAAATCGAATAAGTTTAGGGTCGTTTCTTCGATTCGTTAAAATATTCGATATAACTGGTGCAATATTGGAGCCTGCAGAGTTCTAAGGATTAATTCGTTTCCTTCTTTCGAAAGACAATGGATTTCAATCGTAGATTCTTAACTCTAAAAATACCAGATCAAAACGACCCATTTTTAGTTTTCTGTTTTTGCGGTTATTGAAAAGATAACAGGATTCTCTGAGAAATTACCGAAGAAATAGATCCAGCGAATTGGAACTGAATGGAGATCTCAGTAGATGCAGTTTTAGAGTTCCTTCAGAGAAATTTCGAAAAGTCGATGCGAATGTTCGGTAGTTTTAGCGTTAATTTAGTTGTAAAAATGAATTAAGCGTCCCCTCAGACGAACCGTCTGATTCGAGTCTATATCCAGCACGTTGAATCGCACATACACGGAATCGTCCCCCGATCCGTCGTATCCTTTCTGGGTTAATCCGTATCGATCTCTTTCGCGTTCGGAATAGTCCGCGCTCCCTATCATAATGCCGAAGTGAATTATAGCGGAACTTTCTTTCTGAACCTGACAAATATGTTTACGGAGCCTCCATTTTGCTTCGCGAAGCTGAGAGGCTCTGCCTTGAGGATAAAGCATCGACACCGTAATCAGTCAAATAACTGGTTACAAAATAAACGTACGCAAGTTGAACAATACATTGTTATTAGTAATAACAGGAACAAAATGAGAGGAAAGTTGAAAAAGTGATCAACACCTTGCCTGATTTACTTTGAACCAAACGTTCCCGTTTAAATTTCTTTACGAAAATAAGAAACTTATCTTAATTAGAGCATATTCCTCAAATACTCTGAAACCCAGTCATTTCAATTCAAAGGGTTAATCGGACAATATAGGAATCGCTACGAAATTGTAATCGAACGGAAGAAAATACAGGACTCTTAATGAAATGTTAAAACCGGTCATCCGGTACGTTAACAAATCATTGGATCGATCTGGCAGCGTCGGTCTCGAATATTTCGTCGGCGTCTCTCGTCAACGGTGAAAATTTCATCTCGTTTCCCTCGAATAGAATTCTTCTGCATTTTATAGCCCCGTTCCCGTCGATATTCTCTTCCTTCCCTTATTTGGAGGCTCCGTCGAAGCGAAATGTCGCCTGTACGCGTCGGATCTCCGCTCGACGCTCGTCCTGATAACCGACATTGCGTACTCTCAAGTTTTTCCGTATCCTCGGCTCGGTTCCGCGGCGCGTTTCTGTCTTTCTATATTTATCACCGCCTCCTCTCCGCCCTGTACATTTCCACCGAACAGAAATTCGCTCTCCGTCTATTCGGTATTCAAACAAACCGTTCGGATCGGCCGCGATCCCGCCGGGAGAGATTATTTCCAGTCGCGTGTACCTAGATACCGCGCAACAAATCGTTTCGGTAAACACGCTTGTTTACCGACCGCTGGATCGAATTTTCCGGAGAATCAGGAGCTCCGACGTGAACCCGTGCATCGCGAGAACGTGCTTCTCGGACACCCGGTGCACGTTTGCCGGGGTTTCCCTGCAACGGCGTCGGAAACGTCCGAAAACCCTTTGCGGACAACTTTTCAAACATTTGAGAACTGTGTACAAACATTGAATTATGTGTCGTAATCTTCAATACCAGAAGAAAAGGAAACGTGTCTATCTCTCTTTATTTGAGTTGTTAAGTTATTTATTCGAGGCTTTCGATTTTGAATATGGAAGCTCCATGTCGTAATTACGACATCCGATCGCGAAGGGTTGATAAAAGCGTGCGATTTTGCAGCGATACGACGCCGAGCCGGGGCTGTTATGAATTACTTGGGTTTCGTTGAACCGAGCGAGATTCGCTCGACCCTTATTTAGTTCGTGCGATCTTTATTTTCCGATTCTTCGCCCGTTTCGAAGGAAACTGTTCAAAACGCCCACCTGTTGATTCGAACACAGTTTACAAAGCCTCGTGAACTCGGAACATGGCGGAAATACTCCGCCGCTATTTGCTGGAACGTTTTCTTACGTTATCTCGAATTGATATTATTCGGCATTCGTTTTTCCGACGGAAGTCCCGAAAAAAGAGGAATTTCAAAAATGAGTTTCCGTTACACCGACTGTAGGTCGATTATTGGAAGGAATTCTTCGAAACATTTTTCGACGAATGTCGATATCCTGGGCCGATCGAAGGTTC